CCTATTAAAATTTTAATAGCAACAAAGACACAGCACATCAAATATCAATTGTAATGAAAAACCACAGTATATATACAAGGATTCTTGAACTTGTTCTTTGATGTGGGTTTTCGAATCTGAACAGTATCCAATCGTATGATCTCGTGTGAATGAATATGCGCAGTTAGCATCGTTATCACACATGTCTCCACCATGACGTAGCATTGGCATGGCAACTAGCCAACGACGCTGACATATAAAAACGCTGGCTCAGGAGACAAGATTTTCCACGTGCTGAACTTCGTCGCTGGTAAGTGAAGTAAACTTTGTTTTTTATATTTTTTATCTTTCTTTATCTATCACAGATTTCATCCTACAGCATTAACTATAATGATCAAAGTTTTTTAAGTGTTTTTCACAATTTAGTCCGATCTTTATGTCCGAATAACAGGATAATTCCACGCTCGATAGCGATTGTAATAACGAATGTCAATTCGATCAATGACAATCATAAAGCAAACCAAAAGACGCTAGAAAAAATGACTTATAACTGCCAAAAACAAATACAAACTGGATAAACCCACTTGTGGGTTAAATCAACCTCTTGAGGATATATCAACCAAAACAGGGAGTCTAATTACAAGAACTATTTACATTAAGTTGAATATTCATTATGAAGTTTTAAGTTTAAAAGGCCTTTTAACTTAAATGATACAACAGCTGATGACTAAGACATCTCCATTTGCAAATAAGAACAAGTATTCACTTAATAGTATTTGTTGGTTCAGAATAAAATAATATCATAAAGAGTAAGTAAACTAATATCAACTATCAAAAACCTTTCACAATTAAATGTAAACTGCAGTACATTATTGATGCAAGTTATTCCACTCTGATGATAGTAACTATGCTCTGATGGACATAGCATAAACACTCTACCCTAATGATTCATATTTCTGATCACTAAATTACATCAATGTAATTAACTTTGTGTAAATTAGTAAATGTTTCCTTAACTTCTTTTCTCAGGTATATGTATTAATACTGCCAAGAATAGCTCTGAAGTTGAGGGAAATGATCCCTTTGAACAGCTATCAGGAACACACCAAGCACATACAACTATTACATGAGAGATTTTTACAATAGAAAAAAAGGCTCATTCSTATTGTGCAAAAAACAGTTGTACTGTCAAGTGTTAGTCCATGATACTATTGATGCATCCCAGATGTCATTGTCACTTTATTCATTATTCACTTAATTCTTTATGAGTCCTTAATAGAATTATTGAAGACAACTGAGTTTTTGTCAGAAAAATTATTGGACCTTGAACGGCCAAACATCATTAAAAATATGTTTATAGATTTACAATAAAATGTAAAATTTAATACCAACACCAAAATTTTAACACTGTAACATGCCTTACATCAAAATAAGCCTATTTTTGAATAGTGCTTTATCATTTCTGTACGCAAAATTGGAAAAAAATAGAACGTTTCCGCCACCTTTTCCATTTCCACCTATTTCCAAAAATAAAACATTTCCAAACTTATACTAAATTTGCTCTTTCTCTAARGTTTTTCCAATTAGGTGAATGTCTAGCTGCCCTGACAACAACACATTACAAGCAATTCCCAAAATATCAGACCTTCAACTTAAATTACTTAAATATTCTTTCCTACACATAGTAAAACATTAAAATCTAAAAATATTCATAACAAGCAGTTTTTGGAGTAACCACAAGCGCTTTTTAAGCGCCTTTTTTTTTCCACGTCGCAGTTTAGCAATCCTAAGGGACCGATAATCCAGAGTTTTCATTTTTACACAGACTATCGTACCCGAATAGCGTCGAACTTAGGATCGCGGGTTAGATTCTCGACTGGATCACTTCTAAAAAGCGATTCTTTTTTCTTTACTTTTTTTACTGAAGCATACCTATTCTTATTTTTCCTGTAGATATTTGTTTTACATATTTTACACGCAAGATCATACTTGAATAGCGGTGTTGAAATGACGATCTCGGGTTCGATACTCGACTCGAGCAGCTTYTAAACATTTTTTTTACTTTCTTTCTTTCTTTAACTTTAAAATACATACTCGTTCTTTTTTCTAAAATCATTTATGCAAAGCAAGCTTTCATCTTATAAATTCTCTGAGGATAATGCGAATGCAATCTAAATGCTAAATTTTCGCTGCAATGATCGCGATCTTCRGTCTCGTGGGCTATTGAACCGTAACCCATTCGGGCTTTGGGTCTAATTGTTAAGTATCATATAGCATGTTTTTTTTATTCACGAATCATGGATCGGARTATTTTAATTTTCTTTAATTATTATTCCATCTACCCAACGTGTAATTGTAAATCACAATGATTGGTTAAGTTGAATATGAACTGGTACTCACCATCGCTTTCTTCCAAACATTTGGTTGTCTTCTTCGGGTTCACTTCGAGCCTAATTATTTTTCAGATAAACGAAATCAAATTTGAAAGTTTTGAAATAAAAAYCTCGAGTTCAATGCTTAGTCGCATATTTTAGGCAGACGTTTAATCTTTTCGTCATATTCTTCAAGACGTCAGTCCGTGAGTTRGTAATGTATTGTCTTACCTGTGCTTTACTCTTACTGTATTGCCAATTTTCATCAAGTAGTGCTGCTCTACCATGGATTAAAGAACACAGACTGACCTATGGTGCATTTCATTTATATTTATATAGCATTCAGAAAGGGAAWTTCCCTGCAAATCGAAAGCATAGTGGCACATCAAAGACAATAGTAATTTCAAGGGACTTCCCCCAATTCTTAGAACACAAAATAATATATTGTATTTCGATATATAATTATTTCCGGGAAAAGAACTTTCGAGAAAGATGAACATATTCATATAGTCATAATATTATAATGCCYGTAGAATAATATAGACGGACTGTGATGGCTAAGAACAATAATGGCCAAATTACAGACAATAGACTTCATCGTATRCTATTAATAGAGCGGATTTCGTATGACTGTGTGCAAAGGCACGGTTCACAGACACTGTATTCAACAACATACATCACCGCTACGGCACGGTACGGTACGGTATGGCACGGCACGGTACGGCACGGTACGGCAAGGCACGACACGGTACGGTGCGGCCATGGCGTAAACGTGCTGTGTGTTTTACACAGTCATACGAAATCCCCTCTGGTCAGTCAGTTTAAATATTTGATAGTCATCTTCAAATACAATAAAAAAGAATTAGTATACTGATATCTATCAGCACTATTTTGCCGTGGTTAACGACAAAAACTATCTTATAGTTGTAGATTTATATCTGTAAATGACTTAAATGAAAATAATTCAACACTGTATGGTGTATCATCCAACTTTAACAATTTACTTCTGGGAAAGGTCGATATTTCCGGGATCAAAGACCATTCCAGAAATCTTATATGTATAAACAGTACAACGCTTTTTAGCTTTTTATTCGCATTTGTTTCTTCGGCGTGACTTMCACCATCATCAKTGTAATTCACACTGATGATGGTGTAAGTTACGCCGAAGAAACAAATGCGAATAAAAAGCTAAAAAGGCACGTGCAAATTTAAGAGACTTAAGATGTACAATGTTACAAAGCTAATGATAATTTGGTATAAAAGACTCACTTTTTGGTTCAGGACTTGACATTTGTATGTATGGACTTCCAGAAATAGTTTACATATAGCAATTATATTTGTAATTAGCGGTTGATCATGTTTAAGATWATCCGTCATGTGCAAACACTAAAACCTTGACAAACCATTAATCAAATAGCGCAATACAATGAAAAAGAAATTCAATATTCGCACTATTTTTTTTAAATTTTTGAAAAAAGGAACTACTGTTTTTTTAATGTTTGTTGTTTCACTCTATTTCCCTCCGTTTGTCATTCCCTTCATTATAAGTGTTTATAAACACAGGTATCAAGTACTTTTACACGCAGAGAGATGGAATTCTCCCTTGACCTTTCAAAGTGCAGTGTTTGCATGTCATGACGTATCCTCAATCCAGTTTACAGCAAAAAGTGCAATAGAGCAGATTTGTAAATCAACTATGTACTTTGTCTTTAATTGTTGTTCCGTAGAAAGTAAGTTGAACGGATGTTGGTGCGAAAACATGGAAAATGGTGTGGAAAAAATGGTCTGCGACGTCAAGGAAAGGACGTTTTTTCAAAGGAAGTTTTTTTTTCCTTTACCTTCATCATAAATGAAGTTTATCAGAAATGATAGTACAAATGATTTTTCGAAATGATTTTTTTGGGAATGGAAACATAACGACATTTCCCTTTTTGGTTTCGAAACTGTCACCCAATAAAAGATGATTAGAACCACGTGATCAATAAAATGTTCAACGCACAGCTTGACCACTAAGCGTGCATTGAATCGGTCAATATCGATTCCAGAGTATCTTCTACCTTTTATCGGTTGGCATGGAAAAGAGTTTTTACGCATTCAGCTGGACGTCTAAAGCGCAGGCTCAKCACAGGAAGCCTTGAGTTTCTAGTAGTTCGCWCAAGTAGTGCTAGAGCTAATTCTTTAGACTGCATATATAGGCTGATACTAGAAGGATTATGTATCGAGATGTATGTGGTCCGAACTTCTTTAATAGACATGTGGTTTACGCTGTGTGTGTCGTTGTCTTGACCCCGGTAAAGTAGTTCGAATGTTGTAAAAACAGTTCATCTATAAAGTCAAAAATACTTGGAAGGAGCAGTTAATAACAATTTGAGGGGACTGGGAGGGAGTGCTGGTAAATGTTACTTTTGGATGAGTCCATAATATTATAGAGCCAAGAAATCCTAGCCCTCTCCTTAAGGCTCAAATAATGATAATTCTCATGTCCCAGAGATATGTCCCACCCTGGTCGTCAAAAAATGACTAGGCCTACCTCCCCCCCCCTCCCCCTTTACACAAGACTCCTTTACACAAGTTGCAGCAAGAGTATATYACCTTGCATGTAGGATTTGTAGAAAACCGATAACATCCGTAACTATGGAAACTTTCAATACGTCAACCAACAAATGCCAAAGCCGTCGTAACCATCCTTGGATACGACTCGTTCTCCAAAGAGCTCGAAGAAATACTGCAACGTTTATGTTCAGCGAGTGCTKGTTTGCTACCACCTTTTCCTTCAAGATTAATATTTCGCCAAGCTCCCCTCTTCAACAGAAAACCAAGGTAAGGACACTGGGCTGTTATCTAATTTTGTGTTTAATTGTCATAGTTGAACAATTTACAGCGCAAAATACATCTGCAGATTCTGCAGAATGAAKGTCGGGGTTAAAAACCCTGCACTATGAACTTCTTATAGTTAAAACATCAAAAAGGTTTTTTTTTGATAAATGTTATCTAGTGAAGTGGTTGAGTTGAAAGAACATTTTATTTTTTCAAACATTATTAAACGAAAATAAATCTGGTTACCATAGAGAGATTGATATAGCTCAGTTTTATAGTCGCTCAATGGTTATTTCAACTACGTGCTCAATGAATCTCAAAGAACATAATTTCTATGTTCAAGTTAAGCGTTTATGTGCCTCAGTACATTTACTCTGCCAAAAGACAAAGGSCTATCGATTGAGGATATGCCTTCTGAATTCTTGATATGCAAATGAGAACATTTCGAAGAAGGCCTTCAATAGTTCACAATGGAACATTTAGAATGAAAAAGTAGTTAAAAAAATCCCAACTTTGACGAACAGAAATATCGATACTTTTTGCAGAGTACTAAAAATCCGTCGGCCTTAAGTTATTTGTTGGACTTTCAATAGCATTTCCACTTGTCTATACTAAGGCAATATTCCCTTGAAAGCGATTATTTTATTCGAGTGAATCATGTAGTTCCGAGGTTTGGCTTGAGCAGATAAACAATTCTAAAAAAAACTTTCAAATATTATTGCTTTTTGAATAATTCTAAGGATTTTTTTCGTTATGTTAATGTRCAGAATTTTGAGTGCGTTTTAATCTAGCTAGTACTGACGTAATAAATTAAGATCCGACGTCATTCATGAAAAAGCCGAAACTGTGCACCATAGACCCGTCTACAGTTTCCTACTAMGCTTTTTACTCGATTTTTTACTCAGCTTTTTTCTCAGGGAGACTGGAACAGCTGAATGCTGAAAAACAAATGCGAAAAAGGATTTGAGTGACTTGTCGAGTCCTGCGAGGGTTCTACAGTGATGTAAATTGATTCACTCTTAGAAGACCAAAGTGTTTTTCGCTTTTTGAATTTGAAATTAAATATAAACACAAATTTTTAAATTGAGTTCTCAACTTTATTAATAAGTTTATTATATTTATATACAGCTGTTTGCAATAATTCTGACCCCCCTACACTAATATTCATATATATCAAAGTAGCCTTGGAAATTATGGGATACCAATGCTGATATTTTTTTGAGAAAGTACTTATTCTGGGCAACTCAAAAAATATATCAGTCATGATATCCCATAATATTTAAGGTCAGTTTGATATATATGAAATATGGCAGAGGGGGTCAGAATTATTGCAAACAGCTGTATGTATTTTTTAATCGAATATTGTAAATATCAAGCTTTTTAAAAKTATGTTTGCAAATTGATACTATTAAACATTATTAGTATTATTATCAAATATTCAATCCTTTGACCGTGACCGACGAACCAAAAAAAGTGCGCTATTTTCTCTTTTTAAGATTAAACCATAATATTTTGGTATTGTTTTTGCTGTTTAGATTTGCCATTGTGCTATGGAGAACAACAACAAAACGTCAAACTCAACATGTAACTTGGAATCAAGTTTTAACGAACCAATCTACTGGCTTATGATACTGCTTGGTCTCCTAGCAACAACGATAAACTGCGTGGTTACAAAGGTTTCTCATAAACTCAATAGCCTGGTTGAAAAGCGTAAAAAAGTGAATCGACAAGGAACCCTTAGATCGCTCGCCAGATGCCATTCCATAACGTACTTTTTCGTCATCCATCAGTCCATTGCGCATGCGCTTGCTTGTCTTACTTTGGTAACATCAATACTAACTCTCATGTACGGTAACCCTGCAGGACAAGCAGTTTGTCTTCTCAAAGAAATCGCCTTGTTCGTAGGCTTGTATCAGCTTATCTACATCGTCACTGAGCGGTATTGGTCTCTTGTGTTTCCACTTCGCCCGCCATCTCTGAAGTTTTCTAAGAGAGTCATCTATTCATTGTGGGTTCTTTGTGCTGTACTCAATATCCCTGATATAATTATCTTGACAGATATAAACACTCGCTGCTTTTATGACTGGCTGTTGTCTATGAATAGGTTTAGAAATAACTATTTTGCTGCTGTTTCTATTTTTCCTGTCATAGTTGTTATCATTGGTTGTTCATTGACACTTCACTATCTTAGAGATGCTAAAAAAGCTAGYAAAATGTTCACTTGTAAGTCAGTCATAGCTTTGAAAGGTGCAAAAACACTGACGAAAAACGAGTTACTTTTGCTGCTTGTATATGTGGTACCACTTGCAATCTTTACTGCCTGTACCACTCACCGCTCATCAAACACACCTATAAACCTTAGAATCCTGCGCCTTAGCTACATGCTATTATCATGCTACTCGATGCTGTATCCTGCTGTAGTTCTGTATAATTACAAACCAATAAGACGAGAAGCAAAAATCTTATTACGTCTTCACAAAAGGCGTTCGTATGGAATGGAGGCTCGATATATCAACAACAGCTCTACGCCAATAGCACTTGTACGTTACTGTTATTATAATACAGCAGCAGACATGACATTAGAATCAACTAATGTGCAGGCAAAAGAAGGAATTGAACGAATGAATGGAAGGAAAAATGAATGTATGGATTTGAATTGATAAATGATAAATCAAGTGATAAAGGCATATCAAAGAATTGTATGTCATTCGTGCGGGATCCCTGTGCATTTTAGKTTTGGGCTTCTTTTAGCAAATTGTTCAGAATTGTTTTCGCTATAATATCTGCAAGTTTCAGACGAYTTCATGCTTKAAGTCGAGAAAATCGCCAAAAACCGATCCTAAAGTACTYCTAAATAAGGTAAGATTACCATATATGGCTGTTAAACGTAGGACAACTTTACGAATTTTCTGAGACAATTCTTTGATATGAATGGCAGACATGTTATATATATATATAGATTCTGCGCCCATTAAAGTCTTGAGAGGTGAAACGCTTCCATTTTAATTGCTTACGTGAATTTATAAACTTTGTGTATTAAATGTGATACATTTTAAAATAGTTTTGACTACTTTTAGTATGATATAAATTACTTTATGCTGTTTAATGAAAAAACTGTTCCCCCCAACCCTGCTCTCTTGGATATGCCCCTGAAAAGACACGATAGATGCTTGCATTTTAATATGTGTTAGTATTTTCTATGGATCTGTATTCCAAAGAATAAAAACTGTAATGTTTGAAAAGTCATGATCAGGCTTGATGGGTGTTCTTTCCGCCATATTCAAATATAATAACCGGTCACGACGAGCTGGGGAAAGATAGTCCAACCATTGCTAGTGCTTTGGATGGAAAATGCTGTTTTCCTAGAAAGTTCTTCGCACATTATTTAAGGAATAAAAGACGAAATTCCGTGTTTGATACTCTGATCAAAACACTTGGGATGTTGGGAGAGCACTCGAAAAGCTGGAAACCACTCCGCTACGCGTCGTGGTTTCCTACGCTTCTCTCGTGCTCTCCCTACATCCCAAGTGTTTTGATCAGAGTATCAAACACGGAATTTCGTCTTTTATTTCTTTTCTAAAATTAAAAGAATACGAAAATTGTAAAGAATTCTGACTTTTGATACGATATGAAACGATGAATTCTCCTTACATTGCAGTTGTCTGCAGCTTCTGTAGATTCTACAACGTTTGATAGCTCTTCTTCTGGGATATCATTCCAGAGGACATCATAAACAGGCATTTCTTCGTTCATTGTTCTTGAAAATGAATGATAACAACAACAAATGTAAACGGCGGGAAAAAAGAAATTTTTGACGCGCGCGAGCGTGTTTTCATACTGTAATCAAACATGGTTTTCGACCAATCACAGCGCGCGTAGTATCCTAAATATTTTAGAAAGCACATTATGATCATGATCTCGGACGAATGATTAATGAGTTTTGCAATTTCTTCTAAATAGGATTTTACGTGACTGTAATTGCGCAATACTTAAATACTCTTAATGAAATCGACGAACATTATGAGTCTAAACTCTTATCTACTCTTTTTCCCCTACTTCTATTATCTTGTCCCCAGGATCGTATTAAAACATTCTGAAATGGAACATGGTTAGAATCTCAGATCAAGTACAAGAATCKCCACAAACGACCTTAAGATTTCCAAATAAGGGATTTTTGTAGAGGTCCGACCACTTGATGAGGTTTCCCTCATCCCCAATTGAGCATGCGCGATAAAGTGCTTCACATTCACCAGCATCCATGTATTTATCCCACATGTTGATTTTAGACATGGCTCCTTTGAAGCTCTGGTACTGTTGAAAACCTCCCTTGTAAGAATCCTGGTCTTGTCCGAGGGCTACAGCACCTCCAGCTAAGAGATATAAACAATATTTAGTTGTCATGTTAAGCCAATACTATGAGCCTATTTGACCACGTGCATGGACATATATGCGATAAAACACTCCTTTTAGTATTCTTTATATAAAGAATACTTATAAGGATGACCTTTATCAGATATAAAAGCCAATAACCACGGCAAAGGTCTCAGGTTTGATACCTCATCATTGACCAATTCAGAATGTCAACCTTTTGCAGTTAAACAGCCACCAGCGCCTGCTATTTTACTCTATGTGTATTCAATGTAGGAAGACAAGAGTGCTTTGCTAAGTGTTTTGCGCATGATCACTTAATTTGCCCGATTTATGCGTCCAAGAACCTTTGCGACCGTTTCTATTGATTTAGGCCGCGCTGTAATAATTGCTTCAAAATCAAAGATGGTAAATTATGCGAGAAAATTGTTAAAATGTTAAACGTGAGCCTTTAAAAACAAGAAACTCCACAAACAACTCAGGTGAGAATGTGTTCCCAAAAACTGTGARTAATGTAACTAATATAATAAACTTTGTTTTACTCACAACAACCACTAACCTCTCACATGCTGCACTTGAGTTTGTTTGTACTGGACCTTCAAACTTCCATCAATGTAAAAATGATACTTTTGTGAGTCACTGCGATATGTGTAGCAGATGTGGTGCCATTGATCATCGTGGTAGTTCTTTGACAAGYTATGGCTTCTGAAAATATATTCTAATATTATATATTCTTATTCTTTGAGTAATATATTGAGCATAGTTGATAACATCAAATTYTTGGAAGTTGTTGGATGTGGAAATTGCCGAATGAAAATAGAGTTGSTAGAATAATATAGTGAAAAGTATTGTTTATGTTCGAATGTCATCCACACAAAGTAAGTTTTCTCGCAGAGACAGCAGTGCTTGAGGGAACTCTTCATCACCTCTTCATCTTTTGTTTCAAAATATTTTCAATGAAACACGAGCTACAAATGTTTGATGGCTGACGAGCGAATCCCATAGTAGTGTCGATCGCGAAAAGACACAAATTCAGGAGGAGCCGGCAGGATCTGTTCTTCTAAATAGCTGTTCTTGTATGAATTTTTTCCTGGGAAAGAGATTTTGAGCTACATTGCTTACAATCTCACGAGTGGCGCCCTTCCTTCTTTAAAACAATTTTGTTCCAGGCAAACGTTTTTATGGTCATTCAAAAAAGCTTACATTTTTTTTAGTTAGGAAATTTTTATTCTCCTGGCAAAAATTCTTAGAAAGTATTCCTTGTCTGGAGAGTTCTTTTTTCCTTAATTTGTCGCTGGCAACTGGCTGGGACAAAAGAACCCAGGAACCCGTCGCCTCCTCCTGCAACTTTAATCACATGCTCCTGACCCGCCCACTTTTGTCGTTAAATTCCTGAAATTCCTTCGTCAGTTGCATTTGTACTTACTTCACCTTGCTCCCCACTGCCAGCATTACCGCTTTGTTTTCTGTAAATTGAACTACGATCTCGTTATTGGAATTGCGATTGATGGCATAACTGAAGGCCACAGCTTGTGACGCATTCCTGTCCAWCTTCACCCAAAGACTAAGAGTGAACGCCGTTAAAGTCTTGATAATAAGATTTTCAGCAATGACGTAATCTTCAACAGATTTTCGTGGAAATTTGATAATCACCTCAGCTGTGAAAATTGAAAGAAAATATCGTCAAATGATTGACTGCGTACTGAGGCAGGACAGAAGAAATGAATGCAATATGTATAGAACTTGCTTGGAACCCGAAGGAGAAAAGGAAACGAGGACGACTCAAAACAAAATGGCGAAGGATAGCCGTAAAAAGGGTTAGATGGGAGGCAACCGCTGATTTAGTTGACAACAGTCTCTCATGCGCAGAGACCTTCCCAAAAACAAAAGAAAACACGAAAAAATGTCGTCATTACAATAGACCAATAAATGTGCATTTTCTCCGATTCTGTATTCCCAGAAGGTTCAAACTCTTGCTCAGGCTAAGCCTCAAATCGGAGAAGATTCAMATTTCTAGAGTTATTGTAATGTCAACATTCGCGCTTTCTTTTGTTCTCTACGCGATTGAGTCTTTTGTATACTAAAACACAGCGGTCGATCGCATTGAACAGGAAAAAGGCTTATAAACAAAACTTCGTCTAACGTAAACATCATTTTCCAAGTCGAGATATAGCCAGACAAATACATGATGACTTTGCTTTCTTTGACTTTTCACCTTTCAAATTCTTATAAATCAGAAAATAACAATATGAATAMGAGCTATTTTCTTGACGACGTCGTATCAGAGTACTCTGGTTGTATACCATGTGTACAGCAAAAGCGTGAGTTCACGCAGTTATGCTTMTTGCTATTGTCTAGAAAACAACATGTTGCTAGATTTAAACCACACCTTGTGTACAGCATCGATACAAGTCACCATCATTTTCGTCCATTAMACATGGATGTGGCTTGCTACAAAGATTTCCGCTACAATTGGCTGGTGGACGCTCGTTGAAGTTGATATATTCCCCATCAGCAGAAGGCAAAAGACTTTCAGGATTTGATAAATGATTGCCTTCATTCAAWTCACAAGTGTTAATGTTTTTATAGAAATTAATGCTGTGACATTTTTGGTGGAGACGGCATTTGTCAATGCACTGTTGTTTAAATAACACATCTGAAATATTGTGAATCACGTGATATTTGAGCGCGAAATGAGGATGGGTGTATCTTGATGTGCAACTTTGAGTTGTGACGCTGGCACAAACGTGAAGCATGGACAGAACAAATAAAAACGTTTTGGTCCTGACAGYCATTCCTACAAACGAAAGTGTTTGACAATATCAGCTGTAGTATTGATTACTGAGCATGGGCGTATCCAGGATTTTCATTGGGTAGGGGGGGGGAGTCCTTACATACCAAATTGTCACTGTGACGTCTTTTGACCTCATTATCATGTTATATAAATCTATTGTTTTAACGCTTTTTTGGCTTTGAAAGGGTGAGTCACGGGCACCCTGTGAGCCCCCCCTGGATACACCCCTGCTGAGAGACATTTGGGATGTTGTTGGATGATGCATTGTCGGCTAGATGTCACAATGGAAATTTTCTCAATCATGTAGCCTTTGATGGTGAAATGAGGCTGAGTGTATCTYGATGTAGAACTGCAGATTTGCATTGTAAACTAAGGCACATAACATCGATCGCGAGAGAATTAACAAATAGCAAAGTTATGATCCTGACAGCCATTCCTATAAACACAAGTATGTGGTAGTGTGAATACAACACTCTGATAATAAAGGTCTATATGTATATATGTATATAGGTCTATGTAATCGCATTTTCATGCAATGCGTAAAACTAAGGATTCACGGAACATCCTGATGCCAAACATTGCTGGCAAAACAATGGAAATGTCTACTACTATAGTGATTATAGAGCTGAACTTTGTTATAGCAAAAGAAGAAATAATGATTATCTTGTTTTTTTTAGTTTACATGATTACAATYCCTAAGAGAAATACAAGTCACATGACGAAATCAGTTTTGTTTGAAATACACCATTGAATATGGTCTCTGTGAAGYCATGTGCAAACCACATGTAGAACCACTAAACACAGTTGGTGGTAATGAGTGCAGATTATTGACGATTTAAGTGATACAGTAAAAACCCGCGTATAAGAACAAGTGCATTAAGAACACCCAGGCCTGATTTTAGGAAATAAAGCACCATTTATATAAGAACACATTCAGACTGAAAAATGAAAGTTGTTCATATATGGAAAAATATCAAAGATCAACACTGCTTTTCGTTGCACACATAATAGTTCCACCCCAATTATATGTAACAAAATATTAAACGAAATAACCATTGTATTAATTGATTACAATTGTGTGCATATATATTAATTTCATCTATTGGCAGCCTAGTATGTTCCTTAGTTTAAGAAACTTTTTTAAATTAAAATAGTTACATCATTGTATTAATTAATTAATTAAAATTGTGTGCATATATATTAATTTCATCTATTGGCAGCCTAGTATGTTCCTTAGTTTAAGAAACGTTTTTAGTAACACTTAAGAACACTTAGATGCTGATTTTGAAGATTATAAGTTCCTTAGTTTAAGAAACGTTTTTAGTAACACTTAAGAACACTTAGATGCTGATTTTGAAGATTATAACCATTTATATAAGAACCAAATCAGCCTGAACCGCCAAAATGGGTGTTCTTATACGCGGGTTTTTACTATGCAGAGAGGACAACTTTTTTTTCAAATGACATTAATTGAGGAGAATCCTATGGCAATGTGCGGGAAGGAAGAAAATCATTGTTTTATTAATTTATTATTTTATTAATTTTTCCTTTACTCTTTCCCTATGCCTGTCTTTCTTTCATTGTGGGAGCTGCAATCTCAGTTGTGCAAAATCATCTTCCCCGCTTCAAGGTTGTACACACGTGACATGGTTACCATAGCAATGAAGTGACCCGAAATAAGGCGAGATAACGTTGCAAAACTGGGAAGGGAAGTTTGTAGCAATCATAATAATTAGAGAGCTTTTTAAGCATGGCGTCCACGGCAAACTGCAAATGGCAGAAAAGACCACGTGACCTGCTTTTTGGGGTTTACCGTTACTGTTTCAACGCAAGAGTGGGTTATTTTGAGTTTACCATAATCGTGAAAAGTCGCTCTTTCCAATGAGTACCTACTACAACGTCAGGTACGAAATTCTTAGGTCATTGGTTCAGCTCTGCCGTTAGCCGTTTGCCGTAAAAGTGATACTTAAGAGCCGATGTCTGTAAAAATCAAACATCTGATGGCAACGGTCAAATTTTCGATTTCGCTCAGTTTGTGCCACAAGATATATAATCACTCAAGTAACAGCAGTATGAGTGTTTTTTTTAAATAATATTTTTCATTTTTGAGAAAATTACGATTTTGTCACGAGCCTTGCCGACCGCCAAATTTGCTGATCGACAGCGTCCCAATCTGAACCAAGTTTGATCGCCTCGCTTACAAAGAAAAAATAATTCTTAGAAACCAACTACCCCAAAATATTGTTTTATGAACTTGGAGACCGTTGCCACGGATTTTCGATTATGTCCGATTTATACAGACATCGGCTCTTTTAAAACTCTCTAATACTCAACATATTTCGCAAAAAGGATTGTAGTTAAGATATAGTTTCATAATCAGTCGTCCATTGTTGGACAGAATCAAATCGGCATTTTATCATAAACTATTGGCTTTGATGCTTTAGTATACACGCACTCAATATAGTTACATTTCTCAGTTTTACCTACCAGAGAAGTAGAAGTTCTCAAATATAAAATTCGTGTTGTGACAGTGTAACTAGTAGAGAAGCCAGTGAAACCTTCATTCGGAATGTCAGTGTGGGTGAGATGCAGCATAATTGCGTCTAATTTTCTAAAGAAAACATTCTTTAACGCCGATTATTTGTCATGAAAAATAACAGTTTTAATAAGTAATATACCTATATCGGCTGCTTTAACGAACTGTATTCATTCAATTTAAACCARCCGGTGCGCTGGGAGCAAGTGCCATTGTCTTCTAATGGTAAAATTAATTCCCAGGGGGCATGTGCCAATGTGTTAATCAATTAGTGCTTACAATCTGAAAACTTTCTGAAAAGTTTCACTTTTTGGTTTCCTAATAAAGGAATCAGATAGGTGAATGGAATTGAATAAATTTCTACCTATTTTGGTAAGATGACAGTAAAATGATTCGTGACATATTGAGATTCAATAGTATGTAGGGAGATTTTTTGATACACATGATTGAAAAAAAGAAAAAGAAGGTTCATTATTGAAGTACTTCTTAATTAAAGACTGAAAGATGAGCATACCAGACCAATATTTTAGTTATTCGCCTTACTAGGTTTTTTTTCTAGTCCACGAGAATGTTGGTTAAATACTATTGGGCATTCAAAATCCCCTTAAGATTTAGAGCTTTCTCAAACGTCACTGGAAAGTAACTTTCGCGAACCAATACAGCTACAGCTCTAAGACTTTGGGACTTTTCCTAAAATTTATCTGGCAGATTTTGATGTAATTTTTTGATGATAACGTCATCCATGTCGCCATGGCAACCAGTTTCTGACACATTGGTTTTCAAAAATGTAAAATATGCTTAATTTTTCATTTYTAAAGCTTATTTCTTGYTTTATTATGCATCTTTTACCTATGCTTTACCTTGCTCCCATTGCTGACTCTACAAAACCATAATACTTTTTCGACAACAAAAACTTTGTGGGGAGGGGTGGGTAGTTTTCATTAAAATCATCAGTTGCACTTCAAACTCACTTTTTTATTCATTAAATGTTAGTTTGAGAAGTATTTAAGACAATTTGAGCTGTTTGTCACAATGCTTAGTTTTTTAATAGTATTTTAGAAAATTAAAGATGGCGGTCCAAGATGGCAGATCCTAAAACGGCGGATATTCTTCTCAAAATTGCTTGTTCCAAATTGTTTAACTTCAAAAACTCCTCAGATTGTAAATTTTACCATAAAATAACGATATATAGACAACGATATAACGAGCGAGGTACGAGCGAGTTTTCTGATACGCATTAACGAGTGCATGAAAACCGTACAAATTTTCCATTCTGTAATTTCRGAAAGCAAAATTAAAAAAAAAATAAAATAAAGCTAATATAATTGTTGTTGAATTTAAATCAAATTTATATCATTTTGGACATTTACATCATATTTACATGAAATTTACAACCTTTTAAAGTGCTCAATTTTTTCCATTGCGTCTATTCCAGTATTTTAGGCGTGATTGCTTCCCCTCCCTCTCCTCCCTGCCTCCCTCTCTTTGTGTATCCATAGTCATCAGGTCGTCAGGTGATGTTTAAAAATACTTCCGGTTCGATATTATAATCCTTGATACTGGTTCCACGACTTCACCTGACCTACCAACAGACAACGATGAAGAACCTTGTGCTAATTTTAATGCTAAGTGTCGGATGGAGTTTGTCTGTAAATCCTGGAATAAGACTTCGTTTAACTGATAAAGGCCTTGCATACGGTAAGGTATGATTGATGAGGCAATCATTAGGTGCTCGCTTGAATAATGCACGGAAGCCTGTGTTTCATGTCTCTAAAAAAACAAGTTGATATGTTTTTTGAATGAGCGAAGTTAGTCTGTGCGACGACGTCAAGCCGTAGACCGGTTAAATAAGAAATATAATCATTTATTAGCCCTTAGCATCAATCATTTGTCATGGTCACCAAGTGACGTGCCATCAGGACCACAAGTACATGTTGAAGTATTTTATGTATGTATGCATGCCCTTGTATAGCCAAGTCGTTAATGCGGTGGTGTATTTGGGGAAAAAAATATGAATGTATACAGAATAGAATATTGTCAACGATTATCCTGCTAATCTATGACATTTTGGTAATTCAAACAAGAGATCAAATCAATATCGAAMCCCTGAAATCCAATACCCTATAGGAACTGGTCTTGTAACATTAACCATTAGACTCATGAAAGTGCTGAGGTTAAATTTCACTTTCGATCCAACCGATATTCGTTTCCTAGTGCTTACATAMACCATTTTAATATGAAATATTAAACGCATCATTTACTCCAAGTTTTTGCTCTTGAGTCGAATTAAAAACAATTATGAGAAAAGTGATCGTATTTTAAAAGAAAAGGTCTAATATCTTTCACCTTTAGTTTCATTCCTTCTAGTTTGGTATAGTTTTTAATTTTCTTTTTGGTTTGTTGCTTTTTTGTTTGCTTGTTGTTTTTTAATGTGTCTTTAAATATTTCAGTGGCTAAAATAGCTGTCGAAGTCCTCAATGAAAAACTGAAGGCCATTAAAATACCAGACATTAATGGCGACGCTGGTACACCACTTGGACATATCAGCTATTCATTATCAAGGTACAAAACTCAGACCAAATTGAAATCTCAATCGGTATGAACCCATTGGAAATCGAACACAATAGACCGCATTCCAGTCTTGGCCAATTTGCGAGCCGCTTTAGGACTGATGAGGATAGTGTTCAACTTTTATGCTCAAAGTTTTAATATTGCTGTAAAGATTTAAGATGAGTTTATCACCAAGATGTAGAAGAAGTAGCGGCCTTGTGTCCACTATCATTGTCCCAATCATATATTCTCGTTAACTTAACGCGAAAACAAACATTGACAATCTGAGTTACTGTGGTCAGGAGTGCACAGAGGAAAGGGGGGGATAGTTTACTACTAATATAAAAATTATATTAATGGATACAGAGAGTGCTTAACACAGTCAAAACATCCTAAACAATTGACTTGTTTTACGATACTTACAGTAATCTTTCTGTTCAACAGTATCAATATCGGCAGCCTTTCTATCCCAACCTACTCCCTAAAGACAAAGACAAATGTTGGATTGGACTTATCTGTGTCTGGAGTATCTATATCTATGAATGGGCACTGGCATTACAGGGAAGATCACTGGTATGGCTCCTCAATGATTCACATTATTATAAGCACCGCAGTATTACACTAATCGTAATATTACCCTCGTCAAAATGTGAGATATTTGACCATCAAACAAATTATCCAATGATAATTCCAAACGCCTTTAATTCCAACATGTTTGATGTTCCGTCCAATTATTATCCTTCCGGCAAAGGATTTTCATGGCTTAAAAGAAAAGAAACCATCGACCTTTGGTTTGGAAATCTTCTTCCAGCAGGATATCCTGGCCACCATGAGCCAGCATAACAATTCTTTTGAAAAATTGCAATCGGTACATCAGACGCGTGTAGCGTGGACGTTTTGGCTAGTACGCACATATCAGGGACCATATTATGGATTGGGGGCTAACAACCGCAAATGGCGAGAGTATTAAGAGGGTCTGGGGGCCCTCCCAGGAAGTTTTGAAATGATAACTCTTGGATTTCCAGCGTTTTGAGGTTCTTTCTGATAACGAAGCCTTAAAAATTCCCGAAAATTTTAATATTTCCTTGCCACTAGTACGCACGTGCGTATATGCGTAAAGGACGCTACGCGCCTGACAGCTGATGACACGATCGATGATCGAAATGACTTAATTAAAAGTGAAATCAAGCAAATCTTATATTAGTGACGCGTATCTTTAGTTTATGGTGTGTAAAATATCTTCTTCACGATAGGAGACCATCAAGATATATGACTGCAGTCGAAAAAAGTCATTAGCGTGGAGATTCAGATATTCTGTTATGTCCTCAGGCCTCATATCAGCGACAGTGGAAGCTTTTCTCTCTCTGCAAGTGGAATCTCCTTTGATGTCCAGATTAAACTTGGTAAATTTC